ATTATATATCTAAATAGGCAACGATCATTTTATTTCTCTTTGTATCCTCTACCCTGAGCAGTGTCTGGAAGTTGGAGTCCCAATATCATCTGATAAATAATGAAAAGATAGTGTTATTAATAGGAGAATCACTTAAAGATCATTTTTTGTAGGCATCCCAATCACCTAGGACCACAATACCTATTTAATAAAATCTGCATTACTTTAATACAGTGATGTCATTAGAGGGGTTAAAACACATTCACATGTACTGATTAGAAGGCACTGTCATTTAAATATTTAACACATTCTCAACAGGCAGTGATGACAATTCTTAAATGAAAGGGCAATAATATGGAGAATAAGCCAGAAGCAGAAAATGTCATGGGCTGCTGGAGGAGAGGGAGTTAATGTAGCCAGTCCTGAGTCCACAGGGAGGAGTCCTGACCATGCATCAGGCCTGCAGCCCCAACTCATCCCGGGTGACGTGGCAGGAACAAGGCCACATGGTCCCACAGGCATCATGGATTGTTAAGACTAGCTAATTAGGTTTCTGGGTCAGATCAGTAAAAATTTCTCTTAGCTTCGCTCTCTTCTGTTCATAAAGATCATTGTTCTAGCTGAGGAAAGCCACCTGACTCACACCTCTTGGGAGAGCAGGAAGAAGCAGATATGAGTAGATGAGATCCAGGGCACCGCTGGAGCGAGCCTCACAGCACAGCCTGGCTGCTCTGGTTCTCGGAAGGCCTTTCTCTCTGATAAGGAAGTGCATGCTCCATGGATTCAGATATGGCTGAGGGAGGATGATCCTGACAGACCAAGAGGAGGACTGTTTGCTGGGGGATAAACAAGGACATGTGAGAGGTATATCAGGCTGAGCTCAAACAAACTGAGAGATGGTGTCCTGGAGAAGATCTGTGTTTACAGAGAAGTCACCCATTTACAGTCAAATGCCATTCCTTTAAGAAAGAGTACCACGGCCGGCCTGGTGGCGCACTGCTACAGTGCGCCGCTTGGGAAGCGCGGTGGTGCTCCCGCCGAGGGTTCGGATCCCACATACAGACCTGCTGCTCACTGGCTGAGTGAGATGCGGGCGCAACACCGAGGGTTGCGATCCATTGCCGGTCCTGGTCCGGTACGGGCGCGACACTGAGGGTTGCGATCCGTTGCCGGTCACGAAAAAAGACAAAAAGACAAAAAAAAAAAGAGTACCACGAATGTGGAAGTCATGATTCAGGTTAAGATTAAGGTTAATATCACTTACAAGAATATAACATATAAATACATGTGCCTTGCCAAATACGGGGTTTAGGGGGCTAATTGCATTTCATGCTAGTGTTCTGTGTCAGGACTGTGTCCGTCGGAGGAAAGATCTGTTCATCTAAGTCAGTCTCCAAAGAGAAAAATACTCCTTTCTTACAGAGGTTCTGTTTAGTCCCCTGAAACCACCAGAGACATGTGTGAAGGACACCAGGAATCTTGAGCCAGCAGGGATACACTGGGAAACCTGACATGGCATTCTACTTGTCTGAAGGTGGAGCTATTAGGGACCTGTGTTTTGTTGACAAGAATTGTGACCGTATAACACACCCAGACCAAGGTGCCTTGGGAACATATGCTCACTCATGAAAAAGTTTAGAACCCAGCTGGCCCTAGCCTGTTGTTTTCCAGGAATTAAATGAATTCAATTTTCCCACAGTGTTTCCCCTTTCTAACAATCCCAAGGCTAAGGCTGTTGCGCCTCTATATGTGACGTTCCAATTGTGTGTCTGAAGGGAGATGAGCTGATGACATCCTTTATAAGGATGACTGGAGGCCTCATCTCACACACACAGACTCACTCCACAGATGCAGCCGGGTGAGCGTCTGTTTCTCAGCCTCATTAACTGTGAGCGCTCATGGCTCAGGAGGGTGGTGGGCTGAGAGTTTTCTCATTGAAGTGTTTCTCACTGAAATCTCTTCTGGTAACTTTAGTCTTATATCTTAGAGAATTATACAAGTAAAATGGTTACAGGTTTTCAGATAAAAAGATCAATTTCATAAATTTTATGAGGCAATAAATTTGTGAATTTGTGAAAAGACATTTATAATTTGGTAATGTTGTATCTGAATTGAAATTGTACTTTATTTTTACCTAATTTTAATATAACATATAAAACACAACATTCATTGTGGTTTATATGAAATTTTAACTGATAGAGCCACCAAATATGAACTAATTCAATATACTCTGTATATACCTTTTTTTAAAAAAGGCGTTTTTTTAAGTTAGAATTTTAAAAATATTTTAGGACAGTTTCAATTTTTATCATAAAATATATTATGGATTTGACATTTTATAATAATGAAATTTTAATAAATGTAAAGATCACTGTCTTTAATGCCATATGGTAATTGTTAATAGTAGAATTTTTTCTTTCTGCCTAACAAAATAAAAATCTGAAAATACCAACTTCTGCTGTTTATTAAGACCTACACTAAACTCAATTGACAAAGAAGAGTAATGCATTTCAGTTATTCGGTTGTGTTTTATACTTACTATATTTCATTCTGATGTTTGTAATATTCAGAAAAGTTTCTTTTATGGAACTGATCTATGTGGACAAAAAGTTTTTCTTTCCTGAAATTGCCAGCTGTGTTCTCACACTGCAACTATTGCCGCTCAACCACCTAACCCCTTGCCTGTCACCTGCGGTTCCCGTGACGGCTTTAGGTTGTTGATGGCCAGTCACAGTATATTTAACAATGCTGTTCATAGAACATAATAAAATTGGTTGTAAAAACAAAACTGTTGATTCATGTGATAATAAAATAAAGTCCAGCATGTTATTTTATAATGTGGGTTATATAATGTTATCCTAACTAGCAGAGTGCAAATATTTATATAGAAATAATATTATTCTTAAAATAAAAAAACTCAAGTGATGTGCTATTTGAAATAGTATATATTTTAAACATGAGGAAATAAATTAATAAACCTCATTTTTTTCAAATTAACATATTTACCTTCTCCCAAAATAGTGCTTGGTTTCTCAAAATCATTTTATTTTTCACTATATTTCTTCTATCATCTTTATACATCTGATCAAAGCCCACATACTTATATAAATATTTGTGCATCCTGGAATGAATTAATTGGATAAAATAATGATGCCTGTATCCAGAGGACAGAACATAAGAACATAATTTAAAATTTTATCACTGCAAGTTTTACAATGGCTTCTGATGTTGGATATTACTTAATTAAATCTTAAAGGTAATAGACTTTACTATTGAAGGTATGAGGTGGTGGTGTTTTTTTGTCATTGGAGTGTATGCCCATATTAAGTGAAGTCTCACTAAAAGGATCAACTTATAATTATTTTAATTCAATCATACAGATGTCATACAGTGGAGAAATGTGGTATTCCTCTTGAAAACTGAGAGGTAGACTTTAGCAATTGACTCCTGAAATGAATGAATTTACATCAGGGAAATTTGGGATGGAAACTAACTCGGAAGACATTCAAGACAATTTTAGGATGATAATGTTAAAGGATATTTAGTAAGGAGAATTATGGTCCCCCAAATGTATCCACATCTTAATGTTTAGTACCTGTAAATATACTAGATTAGATGACAAAAAAAAAAAAGCTTATCGATGTAATTAAGGTTGCTAATCAACTGACTCTAAGATAGGAAGATTACTTTGGATTATGTGGGCTCTTTGATTCTTGGGCCATATGTAATCAGAAGGGTTCTTAAATGTAGAAAAATGGGGTAAAAGAAACAGTGGTGGAGGGATGTCATGTGAGAAAAGCTCAACTGGTCATTACTGGTTTTAAAGTTAAAAGGAGACCACAAGCCAAAAAATATGGGCATCATCTAGAGGAAGAAAAGGCAAGAAAATAGATTTTCCCTGAGCCTACAGAAAGGGATGCAGCCTTACACACATGATGACATGCAGCAAGTGAAAAAGTTTTAGGACTTCTTCTGACTCCTAAAACCTTAAATAAGGGTTTGAATTAGGTAAACTGTTACATTTTTAATAAATTTAATTTTAGCAAATTCTAAAACAGTAATAGAAAACTAATTCAGGGACTGCATATAGTCATGCCATGTTAAAATATTTTTAAAAACAACTTAACATTAATATACTCATTTCTCTTTTCAGTTGGAATAAAAAGCATTTAAAAAAAAAAAAAAGCCAGTTAGCTCAGTTGGTTAGAGCAGAGCCTTGTAACACCAAGGTTAACATTCAGATCCCTGCACCAGCCAGCTGCGAAAATAAATAAATAAATAAAGGATGCAACAACCCCAGTATCTCTCTCAAGCACTGGTTATAAAGAAACAGAATAACAACACCTGAGAAAAGATGTAACAAACATAATATTGTTTTACTTTCAGTGTTTGCTTTATTTAGTGATTTTTTCTGTTAGCATATCATTGACTTCAGCTCAGCTACACATACACAAAAAGATTACAAAAAGAGTTACAAAAATTACAAAAAGGGTAATTTTTATATATTCATCACATTTCTGGGTTCTAAACTTCATACAAAGAAGGATATAATAGCATTAAAGTCTTGAAAACTAGTGTGGCCTGAGTACTATAGGAATATAGATAACAGGAACCTTAGGCATTGTTATTGGTGTAAACATATTATATAAATATTAGCTAAACATAAATGTATTATAAATGTATTAAATATGTTATGTGTGTATGAAAATATTGTTATATATGGAAAATATTACTGAGGCTGAATTTTGAATAAATTATGAGTTTTTCAGGATTTATCAAGAAAAATAAGGTAAAATAAAATGGATGTTGATGATGATGATTTTGAATAAGAAAAAATATTATTGACAATGTGACGTCTTTTTTTTTTTTCAGACACCAAAACTGTTTCCTGTTTTACATTAAGATGAAATCACTTTCTACTTTTGCTGCCATGAAACACTGCCTTATTTCCCAGCTGACATTGGGATCTCAGCCAACACCTCTCTCCTCTTCCACATCTCCACATTCCTTCTGGATCACAGGACTAAGCCTATTGACCTGATCACCTGTCACTTTGCCCTCATCCACGTAGTGATGCTCCTCACTGTCGTATTTTTTGGTGTCTCCAGATCTGTATGAATCACTCAATTTTCAGAATGACTTCAAGTGTAAGGTGTTTTTCTTCCTGAGCAGAATGACTTCAAGTGTAAGGTGTTTTTCTTCATGAGCAGAGTGATGCGAGACCTCTCCATCTGCACCACCTGCCTCCTGAGCATGTTCCAGGCCATCACCATCAACCACAGCACTTCCTGATTAGTGAGATTTAAACATAAATTCACAAATCCTTCCTGATTAGTGAGATTTAAACATAAATTCGCAAATTACATTACTTCTATTTTCTTTTTCTTGTGGTTCCTCAGTTTGTCTTGCAGTAGTGACCTGGTCTTCTGTACTGTGGCTTCTTCCAATGTGACCCAGATCAATCTACTAAATGTCAATAAATACTGCTCACTCTTCCCCATGGTCTCTATCATCAAGCAAGTGTTTTTGACTCTGACATTATTCAGAGATGTCTCCTTTGTAGGAATCATGATGCTCTCAAGTGCATACATGGTGATTCTCTTGTTCAGGCATCAGAGGCAATCCCAGTACCTTCACAGCACCAGACTCTCCCTAATAACCTCCCCAGTGAAAAGAGCCACCCAGACCAACCTGCCACTGGTGAGTTTCTTTGTGGTCATCTACTGGGTGGACTTTATCATCTCATCTTCTTCGACCCTGTTAGGGGCAGATGATGCAGTTGTTGTGGGTATCCAGAGGTTTGTGTGCAATGTTTTTGCCATTGTCAGTCCTTTAGTGATAATCAGATCTGATAAAAGGATAATCAAGACTTTACAAAATATGTGGCAGAAGCACCATCATTTTTTAACAAGTTAGTGATTAAAGTACTGGTCTTATGAATAGATTCTTCTGTCATCAGTCAAATTATCAACTAACATAGCATTTTCATCTTGTTTAATCAAAAGTTATGGAACCACAGTTTAATGTATCTAAATATGGTTAATCCTGTGTTGCCATTTTTTGTGGTTTCTTTCATTTAATGTTGACCATGTTTTGATACTCCCATAGGTTTACAGGTTTACTCATGTATTTTGATTCTCAAATATTCACCCAAAACCTTTCCTTTTTTGAAGTATACTTTTTAAGAATCTCCTATGCAAACAATATTTTTCAAAATTTTACTTGTGAAAATATTTTATTTTACCCTTTTTTTCTTCAAATACATATTAATTAAGTATCCAAGTCTAGCTTGAATATTAATATTTTTTCTAAACTACTAATATTTTTTCTCTAAATTACTGCTTTTGTTTAGACTGGAGATTTTGCTGTCATCTTTGTAGGTTAATCCATATTTTCTTTATCAATGCTTTTAGTATTTTCTTTCTTCTTGTGTTATGAAGTTTGACTATTATTTCTGTCTTGATTAGTATTTCTTGTATTTATCTCTTATAACAAAGTATATTTCTGAATACAAGAAATCATGCTGTTTTCAACTTTAAAAATTTATAAATTATTTCTTTGATTATAGTTTTTTTCATTTCTCTGTGACACAATTATCTGTTTTATTTTTTCTCATTCTAGTTGTCATATAAATGCATATATGCATATTTATGTATATATACTATTTCCTATTACTTTGTCACTCTGCACTGTATCTTGGCTACATTTATTCTTTTTTTTTTTTCCTTTTTGTCTTTTTTCGTGACTGGCAACGGATCGCAACCCTCAGTGTCGCGCCCATACCGGACCGGGACCAGCAACGGGATTGCAACCCTCCGTGTTGCTCCCGCACCTCGCTCAGCCAGTGAGCGGCTGGTCTGTATGTGGGATCCGAACCCTCGGCGGGAGCGCCACCGCGCTTCCCAAGCGGCGCACTGTAGCAGTGCGCCACCGGGCCGGCCCCATGGCTACATTTATTCTGCTTAATCTTTCATTTCACTAATCTATCATGAGTTCATTCTGCTTTAGTGTTTAACCCATACATTAAAAATGAGTTTTACATATTATACTTATACATTGTTTAATTTACATTTGTATTTTTTGACTATAGTTTGTCATATATAGTTTCTTGATTTTTCCCAATATACCACACAGATATGCTGGGTCAGATGACAGTCTCATGAAAAGCCTTGAGTTTCTTGACTGGAAACAACAGCACACTTGCAATATGCCATGCAGTAATAACAATTTGTAGAGGTTGATACTTTTTTAATACTGGAAAAGTAATTTTATGTTTTGCACAGATTTATAAAGTAATAATTTTCCATCTTAGTTAAGAGTTACCATAAATTCCGAGAAATAATTCTTTTCTGTAACATCAAACCAGTAATTGGTAGAATTAGTTACCTAAATTTAGGTTTCTTGATTCCAATCTTGATTCTTCTTTAACACTTCCATGACTCCTTAAAGTAATCTTATTTTGGATTTTGAAGTTAATCCAGAAGTAATTTAAAAGGATTTTGCTTAAAATTTGCATGTGGCTCTATAATCCTTTTTATTTACACTTTATTTTTATAGTCCTTGTCATCATTTCACAGTAGAGAAAAATGACCTGAATGAATTTTGACATTTTTTGAAGACTGAAACCTTGTCATTTTTTGGAAATTTCTCTGGATATTTCAAAATATCATATTCTCTGCTTACTGGTTTAAAATGCTGTCCATTTGTCTATCTACCCAGTCAGTGCATCTGTCTTATGAAGTCATGAAACACATTTAAAGATAATTTATTTGTTGTGTAACTGTGCACACAGAATTGATATAGGTGGCCTAGCTGCTTATTTTTAGAAATATTTGCTTATAATGATGGCCCTTGACTGGCATCTGGAAACTTAGAGTTAAGAAGGATTTTACCATTAACCAATTAGAGTGATTCTCTATGCCTAATCTGTTTAAGAAAACAGTATCATTTATGCTGATCATCTGCTTTCCTTCTGGAATGTGTCTATGTGCCAGGCACAGGTTCTCTGTGTGACCAGCCCCCAATAAGAAAACAAACAAGAAACCTTATTGTATCAATTCTCTAATGAACTCATCTGGTTGGCAACATTTCTCATGTGTCGTCACAACTCACTGTTAGGGAGTTTAAGCATGTATTTTGTGACTTTTTTCTGAAAGGTTTGTAGTAAGCTTGTACCCATTCTCCCTTGGATTTCACCTCATGGGTCTATTATTTTTGTTTAATTTCTTTGCTATAATAGTCATAGATGTAAGTGTGGTGATTCCTGGGAGTTTTCCTAGTGATTCAACAAACCTAGCAGTGACATTGGCAACCCCCAACACAAGACCAAACACTTATTTCCCTGATAGTTTTAATTCCACCTAATAAAGTTGTAAATGTGTCAACTTCTCTTTGATAAAGTTTTGAGTTATATATTTTAAACTATTATGTATTAGGCTACATGTGTTTGTGGCTTGAAATAATGCCAAACACATTGTATGCACTATTTAAGTTTTGACCACTCTGGTTAATCAAATCATCATCTGTTTGTGTCATTCTTTATTTACAATGTCATTTTGTATTTTTTATTACAAGTTTATTTTTTCTGTCTTATCTAAATATTTACTCAAAAAAACAGGTGGACTTTGTCTGCCATATTGACAAAATTCAGAGAAATAGCACAGTCCCTAGTTTACTTTAGGGGCAGTGCCTCATTTGTCTCAAACAATGAATCTGGGTGGTAGGAACAGCAGGTATAGTCATTCTCTCCATCCTATAACAGAGTTTCCTTAGCTCCAAACTTCATTCACCCACACTGTTGGAATGTAAGACATAAACTACCTTTATTACACATTATTTAATCATCTGTATATAAAATAAATAATGAAGCATTCATTAAATACCCATTACAACAAATAAAAGAGCTCAGAAAGGACCCAAATGCAAAAGATCAAGGTATAAAAAACAATTGTATTGCTACAATATAGCAATAAGCAATTTGAAAAGAAAATTTAGGCAAATTAAATTATCAATAGCATTAAAAAGAATGATATATTTAGATATAAATTTTATAAATAAACGTGGAGGACTTGTAAACTAAAAACTGTAAAACTGCTGAAATAAATCAAAAAAGTCTAAATAAATTGAAAGGCATTCAATATTCATGAATCATAAGACAATACAGTTATGATCACAACACTTTTAAGATCAATGAGTCAATACAAGTCATTTCAAAGTACTACTTGCCTTTTTAACAGACATTTCCAAGATAATCCTAAAATTCATATAGTCATTTAAAGAAAACTGAATAGCCAAACCAATCTTGAGAAAGAAAATCGGAATTAGATGATTACTCTTCTAAAAGCAAATCTAATAACAAAGGTACAGTTTCCAAGATAGAATGACACTAAGTAAGGGTAGACATATAGGTAAATGGACAAGACATGAAGTTCCAGAAAAATAATGTTTCATTTTTGGTCATTGATTTTTGACAAAAGTGCCAAGAAAACTCCTTGAGGAAAGCAGTCTTCTCAACATATTGTGCTGAGATAATTAAATATCCACCTGCCAAAAGTAAAGCTGGACTGGAACGTCACAAGGCATACAAAAATTAACTCAAAACAAATCATTCATGACCTAAATATAAGAGGTAAAACTATAAAGCTGTTAGAAAAAAGCATAAAGATATGTTATGCTTAAAAGTCTATAAAGGATGTGACAACTTGTAAAACGGAAGAAAATATATTTAAGTTATACATCTGATAATAGTCTAGTATCCAAAATACATAGAAACTGTCACAACTTAAGAGAAAAAATATAATCTAACTTAAAAATTAAAAGAAATTAACTAGTCATTTATCCAAAGATATAAAAATGATCAATGAACACATGAAAAAATGCTCAACATCACTCAGCATTTGGGAAATGCAAATCAAAACCACTTTGAGATATCATCTAACTCCAGTTAGGATAGCTAATATCCAAAAGACTGAGAATAACAAATGCTGGTGAGGATGTGGGGAAAAAGGAACACTCTGACACTGTTAGTGGGACAGCAAAATGGTGCAGGCTTTGTGGAAAATGGGATGGAGGTTCCTCAAACAATTACAGACAGATCTACCATATGACCCAACTATTCCACTGCCAGGCATAGGAATGGAAATCATCACATCAAAGGAATGGAAATCATCACATCAAAGGAATGGAAATCATCACATCAAAGGAATGGAAATCATCACATCAAAGGAATGGAAATCATCACATCAAAGGAATGGAAATCATCACATCAAAGGAATGGAAATCATCACATCAAAGGAATGGAAATCATCACATCAAAGGAATGGAAATCATCACATCAAAGGAATGGAAATCATCACATCAAAGGAATGGAAATCATCACATCAAAGGAATGGAAATCATCACATCAAAGGAATGGAAATCATCACATCAAAGGAATGGAAATCATCACATCAAAGGAATGGAAATCATCACATCAAAGGAATGGAAATCATCACATCAAAGGAATGGAAATCATCACATCAAAGGCATAACTGTACTCATGTTTATTTCAGCACTATTTACAATAACCAAGAGTTGGAACCAGCCTAAATGTCCATCATCAGATGAGTGGATAAGGAAAGTGTGGTATATCTACACAATGGAATACTACTCTGCTGTTAAAAAGAATGAAATACTACCATTCACAGCAACATGGATGAACTTAGAGAAAATTACATTAAGTGAAATAAGCCAGGCACAGAAAGAGAAACACCACATGGTCTCACTTATATACGGGAACTAATAAAAACAAATACATAAATACAAACAAATAAACGGGGGGAGGGAAGAAGAAAACAATCACAACAATTCCTTGAACTTGTTAAGACAAGTGAACAGATATGATGTTGATGGGGGAGGGGGAGAAAGGGGGGAAAGAAGGAATTGGTAAAGGGGCATGAAAATCAACTACATTATATATTGATAAAATAAAAAACAAAAGAATTTCTCTATAGTTAAAAATAATTACATCTTTAAACTTAGAGAAAATTACATTAAGTGAAATAAGCCAGGCACCGAAAAAGAAACACCACATGGTCTCACTTACATACGGGAACTAATAAAAACAAATACATAAATACAAACAAATAAACGTGGGGAGGGAAGAAGAAAAACAATCACAACAATTCCTTGAACTTGTTAAGACAAGTGAACAGATATGATGTTGGTGGGGGAGGGGGGAGAAAGGGGGGAAAGAAGGAATTGGTAAAGGGGCATGAAAATCAACTACAGTATATATTGATAAAATAAAAAACAAAAGAATTTCTCTATAGTTAAAAATAATTACATCTTTATGCATTAGATGCTCATTCTCATAAATTTATAATTATTTTATTAATTTGTCTTTTAAATCATAATGGTAAAAAAAGGTGTTACAAACTAAAAATTCAATAAAAATTGTTTTTATATTTACTTATTTAACATCGTTTAAGCACTGTTTTTTGTTTTTTTGTTTTTAAATTTATTCTTTAAGTGGCTTCAAGTTTCTGGTTGAAGTTCTTTTAGGGCCGGCCCGGTGGCGCACTGCTACGGTGCGCCGCTTGGGTTGGGAAGCGCGGCGGCGCTCCCGCTGAGGGTTCGGATCCCACATACAGACCAGCAGCTCACTGGCTGAGCAAGGTGCAGGAGCAACACTGAGGGTTGCGATCCATTGCCGGTAACGAAAAAAGACAAAAAGGAAAAAAAAAAAAAGAAGAAGTTCTTTTATCTCAGCCTAAAGCCGTCCCTGTTGTTTCTTAAACCACATGTCTACTAGAAATAAACTCCCATATCTTTCATTTTCTGGGAATATTTTGTTTTCTTCTTCATTTTTTTTTTCTTTTTGTCTTTTTTCATGACCGGCGACGGATCGCAACCCTCAGTGTCGTGCCCGTACCGGACCGGGACCCGCAACAGGATCGCAACCCTCGGTGTTGTGCCCGCACCTCGCTCAGCCAGTGAGCGGGAACCGGTCTGTATGTGGGATCCGAACCCTCGGCGGGAGCACCGCCACGCTTCCCAAGCGGCGCACTGTAGCAGTGCGCCACCGGGCCGGCCCTTCTTCTTCATTTTTGAAGGATAATTTTGCCAGATATAGAACACAGAGTTTTTTTATTTACAGTATTTTTTCTCAGCAATTTAAATATTTCATCTACGTGGGCCCACACAAGGCTTATTCTATAACGTCTCATAAACCTCAGCCATCGGACCCCCTATGCAGGTCTCTCGGTTGGAGCCACAGAGGACCCTCAGCTGCCATCTCCCAGTCCTCCTACTTCTCTCTCCCCAGATGGTATCCAAGGACACCAGACACCCCCTAGTTACCTCTATGGTGGGATTTTAACATCACAGTGATTATGTGGCACCCAGCCCACTCTACTCCCTACTCCACTACAGCCCGGCTCTTCCAGCCCCTTGTCCTGCTCTCTCTCATAGGGGCACTGCAGACACTGTGTCAATAGGAAGGAAGGGCTGCAGGAGGAAGACTCTCTTCTCTATTGATTTAGAGGCCTCCAGCTGGAAGGCAGAGGCCCCTGTCATCTACTCTCTGGAGCCCACTCACCTTCTTCTGCTGCCACTGCCTCATCTGGACTCTCTGGTGGTTCAATTCCAGGGTGGCCAACTTGACTGTCTCCACCTGACAAGGTCAAGGACAAGGACCGTGCTATGGTTTGAATGTTCCCTCCAAGCCTTATGTTGAAACATAATCCCTACTGTAACTGTAATAAGAGGGTGTGAAATTTGACTATATTATTTGAAAGATGGGGCCCTGTATGAGGCAAGTGGACTATGAGAACTCTGCTCTCATGAATGAATTCATTCATTCCTAAGTTAATGGTTGATGAATTAGTGGGTTGTCGTGAAAGTGGACCAGTGGCCTTAGAAAAAGAGCATATAAATGCGCTGTTGCCCTCTTGCCATGTGGTGCTCGGTGCCCCCTCAGGACTCTACACAGAGTTCTGATGAGAAAGAAGAGCCTCACTAGATGCACCCTCTCAGTCTTGGACTTCCCAGCCTTCTAGACTGGAAGAAAAAATTCTGGTTTTTTTAAAAAAAATAAATTACCCAGTTTCCGGTATTCTGCTATAAGTGACAAAAAAACCAGACCAAGACAGTGAGAATATGGTCTCCTCACACATTTACACCCCTATCCCCAACCTTGAACTCTGGATATCTGACCCCAGCCAGCGCACGTAGTGCTACTACTACCTCTAGTGGATCGGACTCAAGATCTAATCCCAGGTCTACCAACACACCCCAGGTGTGTGATCCTGGGAGGGCAGCCTGGCCTCCCTTTCCTGTTTCCTCATCTGGAAAGTGTGATGGGAACTACCCCTGCCTCCCAGGGTCTCCTGAGGACTCAGTGTCATATTACCATCCTCATCCTTCTCACCTGCACCCTGGAGGAAGGAGCAGACACAAACACCCTCAAATTCCTTTCCTCCCCTTCACCTCATCGCCACCCTGTGAGGCCTGCAAGCAGGCTCATCATCCTTACAGTTTCCAGATCAGAAAACAGAAGCCCCAGGAGGGACAGTGACTTACACAGGGCTTCACAGGGGAGGCTGACTCCTCTCCATCATCTGGAGGCCCTGACCCAGCTGCTTTCACCCCACCCACCAGCACCCCACCAGCACTACCACTGACCAGGGACTCATCCTCTGGGCTCTCTGTAAGTGTGCAGGTCTGCAGCCAGGCCCAGCCTTGGTGAGAGAGGGACAGGATGTTCTGAGAGGCCTGGTTAAGAAGCTCCTGTCTGCCCCAGCACCACTGATATCTGTACCCAACAGGCTGGGTTTGAGGCCATGTCAAAGGCTTCACCTCCCCAGTGAGAGTTCCCTGCACAGAACTCTCTCTTCCTCCACTCAGGACTTGGTATTCTGAGATGCCATCTCTGAGCAACAGGGCAGAGGATCTCCAGACTGCTGGCCAACAACACTTTCCTCCTCCTTTATGTGAAGGGCCTGTGATCTGGTCAGGAAGGTTCTTCTAGGAATATATGAGTCCCTTAGACACTTCTCATGACTCATCTGGAGCACATGTCACTGCTAACTGGGCACAGGGGTGAGAGTCCTAGGGCTGTGATGGATTAGCACTGTCTGCAGAGGGGCAGAGTGGGGAATAGCAGCAACCACATGTATTGGGCTCAAGTATACCTATTAGGACCCAAAGCTGTGCAGCCCATTCAATGACCCTGCCCATTGGATTTCTCTGTCATAATCGTCCCTGGTACCACCCCATGGAGGTGCAGTGCAGACAGCAGCAGCAGCAGGGGCCTGGATTCCTCAAAAAGACTGGAAGAGTTTGCAGAGGGAAGAAAGTCCTGCCTACCACATCCACCCAACAGCCTGGAGAAAGTGACCTGCCGACCGGATGGAGCAGTGTGGGAGCCAGAGACCTGCTGCTTCTGCAGCTCCTCTGCCCTCTTGCACAGCCCGGCTGCCACCACTGCATCCCAGCACCAGGGCTCCTGCCCCACAGTCTCCACCTGCCCATGGACAGACACATCCTTCCTCCTGTTAGTCCAGACAACACGGGACTGAAGTTTTTTCTGTTAAGTTTTAGTGAGAAAGTAAAACAAAAATAAAAACAAAAACAAAAACTCACCGCTTCTTTTGCCACCTGGGATAAAGTCACAGCAAGGCTTACAGACCCCACTCATGAGCCCATTCTTTCCTTCAGTGTCCCTGGCCTCCCAGCCCCTGCCAGGTTCATGCAGGAGGAAATGCCCAGACCTAGAGGAGGTCCCTGGTCCACCCTGTGCTCCTACAGACAGGGGTCCACCCACCTGGAATCTTCTCTCCACGTCCTCTTCGGTCGATGGATCAGGGTGCTCTGCAGAGCAGAGAGGATGGCATGGACTGAGGAGAAGTTCCTGAGGATCAAGCATTGCTGCGGAGGAAAGAGAATGAACCATGGGTGGGGAGTTGGAGGCCACCTGCTCCAGCTTCAGCCTCCCCAGCTGACATCTCCCCTCCTGGATGAGACAGATGCCCAGGGAGTCACAGGAGGGCACAACTGGAGCCCAATGAGCAGCTCTCACAGAGGGAGGGTTTTAGCTCAACCCAAGAAGGAGTCCAGGTAGGAGGTGAGCCTCTGCCACTGGGACATGGGAGTCAAGGCCAGTGCACCCTGACAGGAAAGGCCTAGGGAACATGCTGAGGCTTAGACCACAGATTACTATTCTGAGGGCAATTTTTTTTGTCCTTTTTTGAGACCGGCCACACCATGCTCAGCCAGTGAGCCCTGTGAGCGCACCGGTNTACCCAACAGGCTGGGTTTGAGGCCATGTCAAAGGCTTCACCTCCCCAGTGAGAGTTCCCTGCACAGAACTCTCTCTTCCTCCACTCAGGACTTTTGATTCTGAGATGCCATCTCTGAGCAGCAGGGCAGAGGATCCCCAGACTGCTGGCCAACAACACTTTCCTCCTCCTTTATGTGAAGGGCCTGTGATCTGGTCAGGAAGGATCTTCTAGGAATGTATGAGTCCCTTAGATACTTCTCATGACTCATCTGGAGCACATGTCACTGCTGACGGGGCACAGGGGTGAGAGTCCTAGGGCTGTGATTGATTAGCACTGTCTGCAGAGGGGCAGAGTGTGGAGTAGCAGCAACCACATGTATTGGGCTCAAGTATATCTATTAGGACCCAAAGCTGTGCAGCCCATTCGATGACCCAGCCCATTGGATTTCTCTGTCATAAACATCCCTGGTACCACCCCATGGAGGTGCAGTGCAGACAGCAGCAGCAGCAGAGGCCTGGCTTCCTCAAAAAGACTGGAAGAGTTTGCAGAGGGAAGAAAGTCCTCCCTACCACATCCACCCAACAGCCTGGAGAAAGCGACATGCTGACAGGATGGAGCAGTGTGGGAGCCAGAGACCTGCTGCTTCTGCAGCTCCTCCATGCTCCTGTACAGCCCGGCTGCCACCACTGCATCCCAGCACCAGGGCTCCTGCCCCACTGTCGCCACCTGCCCATGGACAGACACATCCTTCCTCCTGTTAGTCCAGACAACACGGGACTAAAATTTTTTCTGTTAAATTTTAGTGAGAAAGTAAAACAAAAATAAAAACAGAAACAAAAACTCACCCCTTCTTTTGCCACCTGGGATAAAGTCACAGCAAGGCTTAGAGACCCCACCCATGAGCCCATTCTTGTCATCAGTGTCCCTTGCCTCCCAGCCCCTGCCAGGTTCATGCAGGAGGCAATGCCCACACCTAGAGGAGGTCCCTGGTCCACCCTGTGCTCCTACAGACAGGGGTCCACCCACCTGGAATCTTCTCTCCACGTCCTCTTCGGTCGATGGATCAGGGTGCTCTGCAGAGCAGAGAGGATGGCATGGACTGAGGAGAAGTTCCTGAGGATCAAGCATTGCTGGGGAGGAAAGAGAATGAACCATGAGTGGGGAGTTGGAGCCCCACCTGCTCCAGCTTCAGCCTCCCCAGCTGACATCTCCCCTCCTGGATGAGACAGATGCCCAGGGAGTCACAGGAGGGCACAACTGGAGCCCAATGAGCAGCTCTCACAGAGGGAGGGTTTTAGCTCAACCCAAGAAGGAGTCCAGGTAGGAGGTGAGCCTCTGCCACTGGGACATGGGAGTCAAGGCCAGTGCACCCTGACAGGAAAGGCCTAGGGAACATGCTGAGGCTTAGACCACAGATTACTATTCTGAGGGCAATTTTTAAAAAGGCAGTTCCAAAGTCTCCAGAGAGGGAATCCCCTGGGTCCTCCCACAGCTCACCTTGGCCACCCTGATCCAGTGCTCCACCACCCTGGCTCTGCCCTGGACCTTCAGGCTGTGGCCCCTGAGGCATGCAGAGATAACACAGTTGGTCACACCATTAAATTGGGCAATGGTGGCACTGATGGAAGGTGCCAGGTGCTCCTTGCCCTTTTGTTGTGCTGGGACCATATGGAGCTCAGGCAGTCATAGGGCACTGCCTTCTTAAGTAGCTCCTGAAGAGGAAAATTACATCACACAGACATGACCCTCCCCAGCTCTTACTCCACAGTTGCCCACAGTCTCAGGAAGATGACAGTGGACAAGCTGGAGAACAAGAAGATTTAGACTTGTGAAAAACGCTGAATTTGGTTCTCTGCCTACCAAGGGCACCAACACGTGATGACTCAAGAGCCAATACTGGCAAGGAAGGGAGAGTGGCATTATCACCCAGGGCATTCTCACTAATTCCAAGTGACAGTGGCTCGGGTGTGCTCATCTTGAGGCTGCATCCTGTGTCTCTCCTGATCAGCCCTCTCTTCTACTTCCTCATTCATATGCACACTTCCTGTGGCAGCTACAACTATGGGCTCTCTTTGGGTGTCTGCTAGAGAGTCTAGTGCATATGAGGTCCTAATAAGTGCAGTGGTTGGTGAGGTCTCATGGGAAGATGCCTGGATAACTCCTGGACCTTCCTGCCCCTCAGTGAACACCTCCATCACCAGATAAGCCAGGACCCCACCCTGCTTTCTCTCTGTCCCATCTCCTTTTAGCTTCAGTCACTCTGTGCAACTGGTACTGTTAATGTCCCAACTCTACTGTCCCCACGTGGACAGTGGAGGCTTGAGAATTAAGAAACTCATCCAGGTCACATCATTGGTAACATGTGGAGCTGGTATTGTACCCAGTTTGTTGGACACTGGTCAGGGAACGGCTCGTCTGTGAAATCTGATGCAAGAAGGACAGCCTGTCTAGACCCCATTCTGCAGAGCCAAGCTCCTTACCACATCCATCAGAGTCAACTGCTCTTCCAGCAGCTGGAAGGGAATGCCATGGTCACACATGTCCACACTGGGCCGGTTCCTGGTAGTCACAGGACAGGGGCAGGAGGGCAAGATTGCTCAAGTTTCAGCCTCATCATTGCAAGTGGCCCTTTCCCTGGCATTGGAGCTGGCTGTAAAGATGGTGGTGGGGGGCCGCCCGGTGGCGCACTGCTACAGTGCGCCACTTGGGAAGCGCGGTGGCACTCCCGCCGAGGGTTCGGATCCCACATACAGACCGGCTGCTCACTGGCTGAGCAAGGTGCGGGCGCAACACCGAGGGTTGCGATCTCGTTGCCGGTCCCGGTCCGGTGCGGGCGCGACACTGAGGGTTGCGATCTGTTGCTGGTCACGAAAAAAAGGTAACATGTGGGGCTGATATTGTACCCAGTTCATTTGACTCTGGTCAGGGAATGGCTTGTCTGTGATATCTTATGCAAGAAGGACAGCTTGTCTAGACCCCATTCTGCAGAGCCAAGCTCCTTACCACATCCATCAGAGTCAACTGCTCTTTCAGCAGCTGGAAGGGAATGCCACAGTCACACATGTCCACACTGGGCCGGTTCATGGTAGTCACAGGACAGGGGCAGGAGGGCAAGATTGCTCAAGTTTCAGTCTCATCATTGCAAGTGGCCCTTTCCCTGGCACTGGAGCTGGCTGTAAAGATGGTGGTGGACCCAGTTCTACAGGTGACTCTGAGTGCAGAGCAGTCCCACCTTTACTGGTGGTGCTGGTGCTGGCTCTTGAGCCTGCCTGGGAAGTGCCTGTGGCTCTGGACATGAAGCAGGTGCAGGGAAAAAAGGTACAACAAGATCAGTCACTTTCCTCTGGCCTTTCCAAACACAGAAAAAATCTGCCCATATTAAAGGGAATTCTACCCCCAAAACACCAGTCCTGGTCAGTCTTCCAGTCTGCAGTCCCCTCACCATCTGTTTCTGCCTCAAAGAGCTTTGGATGCTTCAGGTTGGCAAGAAGAATGTGCACATGGGGAGCCATGTCCGATCCAGGCAGTTGGCCTGAATGGGAGTGATCTTAACATTTTTAACATTTTAAACAGTTTATTCATCAATTTACGAATTCTGAATCAGCAAACCAAAGCTGGTTTAGGGATTTTTTGTTTGTTTGTTTGTTTGTTTGTTTGTTTAATTGAAACACGATTACATTTATTTGTAAGTTACAGATTTAAATACATGTGTACAAAGCATGGTGATCAAATCAGGATAATTAGTATACTCATGTTTACAAAGTGTCATCAATTTTTGTAACCATTAACTAATTTCTCACTAACACCCCTCCTCCTCCCCTTTTCCTACCTCTAATAAACACAGTTATGTTCTCTTTTTTTTTTGAAAGTTCAGTGTATTATTGTAATTGTTTCTTTTTTTCTTTCTCTTTCCTCCCTCCCTCTCTCCCTCCCTCTCTCCCTCCCTCTCTCCTTCCCTCCCTTCCTCCCTCCTTCCTCCCTCCCTTCTTTCTTTTCTTCCTTCCCTCTTCTCTCTCTCTCTTTTTCTTTCTTTCTTTTCATTCTGACTCATCCTTGCCAAGGAAGATCAAGAAATAAGTACTGACCGTGCTGGGCAGCCACACACCCATGTGGACCAGAGTGGAGGCAGCAGTCATAGTCGAAGTAAGAGAGAACCCCAAGGCTATAATTATTTGATTTCTGCAACCTTCCAGAAGGAAGAATATTCTTGCATAAACATGTCAGACCTGTCAAAAGTATACAAAATCAGCTCCCCAAATTGCAAAATACCACTTATGGCAGAATAGTATTTCATTGAGTATTTATACCATATTTTCCTTATCCAGTCACTTGTTGATGAATATTTAGGTTGGTTCCAACTCTTGGCTACTGTAGATATAGCTGCAATAAACATAGGAGTGTAGGTATCACTTCAACATGATGATTCCCATTCCTTTGGGTATATACCTTGCAGTGGGATTGCTGGATTTTATGGCATAGTTGTTTGAGGAACCTCCAAATTGTTTTCCATAGTGGCCACACTAGTTTACAGTCCCACCAACAGTGTAGGTGGGTTCCTCTTTCTCTGCGTTCTCACCATCATTTGTTATTCTGTCTTTTTGATAATATCCAGTATAACTGAGGTGAGATGATATCTCAGTGT